TTTTTTTTTTTTTTTTTTTTTCTTTTGTGGGTTTGTAAAAGAAGAGAGAAGTGGGTAGTGGGTGTCTGAGAGCGGGGCGAAAGATTCGTGTGAGTGAAGGAGAGAGGGAAAATGAAGTAAACAACGAAGAAGAGAGAGTAGAAGACATTTGTCAGGTTGTGGTGTCGTTTTCTTGGTCATTCTTTTTCTATATCAATGGTGGTGTGAGGGAGAGGGAGAAGGTGAGATATGAAATAAAGAAACCATATTATAAACCCACTTTTAAATTTGATATCTATAAACTGAAATGGTTCAACGTTTGGGAGTAGCCTCTACCCATCTATCTTCATCTCCCTAACCAAACACACCTACCATAATATAGTTGATTAAGAAGAAGATCACAGGATATGGTATCAGGTATCAGAGTTATATTCTTAACTGAGTCATATTAATAGAATCCTTAAATGTTGAACAAAAAACTTGTGAGTCTCGAATAAATAATGTAGTCAAATGTGACTGAAGTGTCGAACAAATAGTGTATTTTGTTTTAGGTTTCTAAAGAAGAAGTCAAAACTCAATTAAGAGAAAGAGAACTAGGTTGTTGAATGTTACCTCTTTTTCCCTTGAAATCATCAATATGGTGATGTCTTTTCTAAAACTCATCTTTTTTTTTTTTTTTTTTGATCACCAGATGATATTTCAAATCAATTTACTTTACCAATTGAATAACATCACAGATGATTTTGAATTTTGGTACAAAGTGGCGGAAGGTTTTTAAATCAGAAGTATCAGTACTCATTAAACTCAATATTAAAAGATTAAATAATTTATAGAACATAAAGTTGAACTAAAATTCATACACATTTCAAGTATTTTTTAAAATACAAACCATAAAGTGGGATTAAAAAGCGTATATTATATAAATGAACCTTTTGTTACGGGAAAACGATGTGGGAAAGTAAGAAGGCATCTTTAAGGCGTTTGACATTTTCTCTGTTGATCTCATTCCACTCAACTATTTTCTTCCTGACTTTAGCCCTTATTATTTTTTTGCGTGCGTTACAGCCATTGCAGAATGAAACCCACTTTTTCTCTCACATCTCCTAGAGAGAGACAGAAAATAATATTAAAAAAAGGTTCACCGGGAGTGCCACACACATCCGACTTTCCCACAACACACCGTCAAAATAAACTACGACTCTTCACAATAATATAATATAATGTCAAATGGGTATGTTCGTAAAGGCCACAATAATCAGCCAAAAATGATTCAAACAAAAAGTTAAGCAAAAATGAATGTTTTTTTTTTTTTTTACATTCAACTTTGTTTATGGGTCCCTTCCATTTGTTTCTCAAACTTTCAATCCAACAACTCAATTATGTCTCAGAAAGTAAAAAAAAAAAAAACAAAGGCCCCAACTTTCGCATCAATTCTATCAAACACATCTATTATTCAATCAATACTACAATATCATACATTACATTACATTATATGCATCATCATGGAGACAAGAGAGAGAGAGAG